GACCACATTTTTCTCAAGAAGTGTACCAGTTTGATATCCCGGACTCCTTGATCGGGAATGTAGTTGGGACACTGCACGCTACGGATTTAGATAATCCGACCGTGGAATGCGGAAAGTTGCAGTTTATCCTACTCCAAGAATCTACCGGTTTAATCGTGGATTCAGATAGCGGAGTGGTTCTAATAAATGGTTCTGCCATCCCTCGAAATGAGCCCATACANCGCACCGTTTGATCAGCTTCGTGATACTGCCATCGTTTGGTTGAGAAACACATCCACTTCGCCAATCAACAAACACGATGCGGCAAAACAGGAGTTTTTGGACATCAGATCTGGACAAGCAGGGGAACCGGAAAAACTTCGTCGCTCAAAACGACAGGTTAGCTTTGCATTCATCCACACCTCTGTCTTCTTATCTTAAGAGGTAATCTTTTTCAGTGGTTCGTTGAGGAAAATGAGCTATGTTCCATTTACTGGTCAGGTGTTGCGTGATCTCATTCGTTCCGTTTTTTCATTTACAGACTATTGATCCACCTTCCACCACCACAATGACTTGGGACAAGATTGCCGTTGTCAATTCCTCACTGGTTTGTCCTGGGTGCTTCTGGCAAATGAAGATAACAACCTCTCTTCCTCCGGGGACGGTAACTCCAGTCTTTGATTTATACGGACCGGACAATAACTTTACAGCGATGGGCTATATCCAAGATGTGACGTTCCAAAATGTCGGTAGTAAATTAAGTGCACTGAATTGCATGTCCATGTTTCAACTGACTGACGGGACCGGGGTGAGTGAACCGATCGATTGCATTGGGTTGGTATGCGAACCAAACTTAATTTGTTACTCAATGTACGGATACGATCGTCTTATTTTGGTAGCGATCAGAAAATTCAGTCACTTAACGGAAATTTAACTGGAAATCAAACCTAGGCATCGTCTTATTACCAACATCTCTCGACTGGAACTGATATTTACTAACCAAGTATGTCTCTTGAGTTCCGCTTCAGCAGTCATCACACCCGAACAGGGGGATGCATAGAAAATGAACTTGGATCCGTGGTGAAAAGAGGAATGCGCTAAATACGATAACGATGAGAGCAATCGATGAAATTATTACTGCCATATATATGGTGTGAAATCAGTGAAGTCTGTCGCCAAGTTGCGTATGCCCCGTCAGGATGAAAATATAGCACAAAGAAATAAGGTTATGCTTTCGGATTTCATATTTGTTCAAAGTCAGTACTCGGAAAATCCGCGCGATTCGAGTTTGGCAATAACTTGCATCCTGTCTGATGCCCAAATTATTTGACAGAAGTAGGAAATTTACAAAATCAGCTGATTTGGTTAAATAACAGCTAAAAGCTTAGTAGTTGTTAAGGCAAACCCTGTGTAAAAATACACCGACAGTTTGGTCCGAGCGATAAGCGATGGCAGGGTTGATATGTGAAGTACTTTTTTCAATTTTCGTTCCAAGATCACTAAGTCGAACAATTGATTCAGCGATCGGTTATGCCTTGTGCATCTTTGACACATTCTGCTGCCATCCACTTGTTGATTTGAAAACATGCCTAGTCCCAAAATTAATCCATCGGAACATCGATTCTTTCTCAGGCCAATTTCACGCAACCCGTGACGTTCAGTGTGTTTGCCAAGCCCAGACTGGAGTAAGACTAAATCACCGTACCCAAGGAGGCAAATATAACTAAACATGGGTTGAATGAGAACTGTTGAGAACTTTACGATCACCTAGACCCTCGAATTGCACACACAGGCCGACCGCTTTGTGTCATACTTCAAGTCGAACCAAGCTTTTCTCTGGTGACTAGATACTAGGTCGCCAACGAGCGAAGTTCCCGGTTATTTAACCAAATCCTATTGGGTAGCTGATAAGAGTAGCAGAGCACTGGAACACTGTTCGGACCTACAGTTTCCTCAGAAGAATATATATTTCGCGTTGGTAATCAAATATCTGATTCGATTATAAAAATGAATTTCGGCTTATACGAAGCAAATAAAGTGTGATCTCAAAATATGGGAAACTCTGAACGGTATGGCTGAGCTTTATTAGCAGTGCAAATCCAGTGACCCAACTGAGAACCGAACCCTGGACCTCACAGATAGAATGCAAGTATACTACCCACTCGACCACCAGGTAGCTGCTCAGACCGTTCTGTTTTCCTTATACACGATACATCACAAACCATAGTTGCAAGCTTTTTGTGGGCATCGCATTTTACGCATTTTAGCTACAGTCTTCAGGATATTTATCTCAGCCCAGTCTTATCGTTGTAACCACGGAAACAGAAATAGTGAAAATTAATTGTGCTACTTTAACATCATATCCTGCACTTAGCACAGCTGAGACACGTCACCAAAATAATTAGTATTCAAAAGCGTTTTTGTGTCTTAAATTCAAATATCACCAACATGTGAACTTGTGTATGCGTTGTCTTAGCAACGAGATAGAAACAAAGAGCGGAGCTTTGTTCCATTTATATCTTGAATATCTGTAATTACCAACTTTGTTCTTTAGTTTTCAAAAGTGAATATCAACAGCGATTCCTTTTGTCCAAACCTGTATTCCTTGCATTTTTCTAGGTAACATCTGCCGGTCTGAATTGCACTGATTTGTCAGTCAGCAACACACCCGGAGTCTCAATGGCTGACTTTTCATTTGATGTTGTTTACAAGACCCTGGTCCTGAGCAACGCTACCCCGGGAACTAATCTGACCATCGGTGTCGGTCTGCTACTCTCAGACGTGATGTATGTTGGATACATGAATTTGACTGTTGGTCCGCCTCAGCAACCCAGTTTTATCATGTCAAACTGTCCTTCATCCACGGTATACGTTGGCACAGTAACCAAACTGAGCTTCTCTTTATTTGCTCCATTCCAATCGGGCAATTACACGGTACGTGAGATTACAAATTGTTCATCCACTTAGTCTGGTTTCGTTTGAAATTCGGCAGCATACGTCCACAAAGAAGATTATATAATTTTGTGACGTTCTGCTTTTTGATTGGAACCTGAATAGTGTCACCAAGCAACCAATGATGGTTTACCGCGTTTGTACGACTCGTCTAAATTAACTTTATCAGATCGCTTAAAATACAGCCTGAAATCAAAATGAGTTGACACTTTACGGGTATTAATTTTAGTAACGTTTAAATTTTGTAAATAAGGGTGTCGTGCATTATGAATTATTTATTCATATGAGGTGCTCAACAGCATTAGCTGATCAAAACCTGCTTTGCGAAGTTGCACACACGATAAAAAGTGTTTTAGTTATTAGTTAATTAATTAAAGAACCAAAACCACGTCACTTAAGTGCAACTCATTGTGAATTGACCAAAGAACCAGTTTTTGGATGGCCTTACGATGATCAGGCTTTTGTGGAATACAGTACCGTCAGAAATTCTGGTTTGATGCTATTATTTCTAATAGTGAACTGAACGATCAGTATTATTTACTCGAAGCTGCTGCCTCGTAGGGGTTTGATTCTGAATTCACATTGACTTCACGGATGACTGGACCATTATCAGACTGATTAAACATCGTCCGTTTTGTGAAAGCTGAGTGATTTGATCCGTCTCAACAAATAGCGAGTTGGGTCTACGCTGCCGCTGAGTAAACAGTACTCACAGTGTCTGTGTGTGTGATTTAACTGTATGATTACACCATTTCAATTTCCATCTGATTGCGGTGAGTCAATTGAAAGATGTTGGGCTGTTGCTGAAATATAGAAGAAGAATTGAGTTGACCAAATGAATATGAAGTAGGAATGGAAAAAGGATATAACGAAAACCGGACAACTGCACCCGATAGAATGTAGAAGGTGATACGATATACCAACTAAGAAAAAAGGTTTATCTAGGTAAAGTTAGAATGAATGAAAAAGGATATAGGCAAACTATGCAATAGAAATTCGGTCCATCAGGTGGGTCAAAAAAGCCACGTATTCTGATAATGATAAATATGGCCAGTAAACTATGAAGATAGGAGAATAGGTGAGATCAGACTGAGCTAGCTGAGAACACGCCAAATTGACAGCCAAATGAATATTATTTATCCCTCCATATTGCGCACAAGGGACTGATCTGAATACAGATTGAATCCTACAGAAAAGCAAGGTTGCTTTGAACAGTACAACTCCCGGCTTTCACCTCGACTTTCAACTGGAATTAACGCAGAGAATGTTGTGACCGTTTCGTTGCTGTCGGGCGAATAAGGGATAAACATACACTGGCAGCTTTTGATCAGCTCCGGTGTGAGTTGGTTAGCACAATAATAGCGTACACGCCTTTCATAAGATAAATTCGCAGTTCAGAGGCTCCATGGGACGATAAAAATTCAAGTAGAGTACCCGCTAGATCAACAGGCAGCTGTCCAGATATTTCTACATTTCTCGTATACACGATGACAATGCACTGTATTGCTTTTGTAGTGTTCTAGTACCATCTTCTGTGGTCACTTATTTATTGTCATTACATTTTTATCTCAAAAGTTTTATGCTCAGACTGTTTCGACAAAAACTGGGAATGACTTGATTTTATTGTTAGCGTTATGCATTTGTACACAAAAAACTGACTTACACGTCAGATTTGTTTAGCCAGTTCAATTTTTGAATAGAATACTATTGTATTTTGCGCAAACGAATAACAGAGGTACTTTACCGGACCGAAAATGTTTTATTTTTGGCCCCTTTCGTGTCATATTTACAAGCAGCCCTCCAGAAATCAATGAATGAATTTCTGGCTACGTAAAGTGCTGAGTTTGTTCGTAAAAGCTTTAGTGAAGCTGATCATCATTTGTTTACCTGCCCAAATTTCTAGTGATATCATCAACGTGACGCTCACTAAAGTTGAAAGTTATTCAGTCGAGTTGCGTATCATGTATGCCAGATCGAGTGGTTAATTGAATGGTAAACACTTCAGTTTACACCATGCTTTGCAAATACGCCTGAAATGAGCAGCGAAGGAAGCCACTTTTGTATTGTGATGAGAAAAAATATGCTCGATTGTGAGATTGAGATGAAAAGTGATTAGAGTTAAAGGGAAACATTTATAAGTGACCACTGGTTAACTGAAGAATGGACTTTGCCAAGCAATATAAACGGCAATTTGCACCGAGATCCACTCGCAGTATTTCTTTCTGAACAAGAATAGCTGGAATTAGGAGGGTTATTAATCAGTCTAAACATCTCAACCGATGAAATTTTCTCATTCCACCTTACAGTTTCTCATAACGACTTCAGACTCATCCCTATCCATTCTGAACACTGATATCACACTGGCTGACGGATTTCTTGCACAACCCGGTAACATGACCACGGAGCGTTGGAATCACTACCGCAACAGGACGATAACTACCAATCGAATGCAAATAAAAATTGTTGGCATGATTAACAGTGGTACGCATTGTTTTCTGTCATTCGTCGTTTGTTTATTTTTAATCGTCACCAAGTAGTTAAGTCATCAACTTGTGTCCCGGGTTCGGACCGCTCCACCGACGCCCATCTTCCCGATTCCCGTATTTTCCAAGACAGCCTTTGTATGACCGCAACCCCCCTTCCTGAATGTTGATTGTTCATTTGTATATTCAATTAATAAAAAGGAAGTAAGAAGACAATATTTCTTTTATTATAAAATAGTTAAAGCCCTTAGTTCTGACAAGAATCTAACTGTAAATCCGGGGGTTAAGCAGAGTGGAGGCCCATTCATTTGGATCGCTCACTCATCCACCATGTTTTACTGACTGAAACGCTTATTCTAGTCAGCCACCAACCGGGAGTACCAGGGTCAGGGAGATGTGATGGCTTGCCAACCCTCCGGACTCAACGAGCTACACAGGATGGCTTTTATCAAGCTTCAGATCTTATCATGCCTGGAGGGTCGATGGGTAGAGGTCAGACGAAGTCCAGTTCCCTGGTACTCCCGGTTGGTTGCTGACTAGAATAAGCGTTTCAGTCAGTAAAACATGGTGGATGAGTAATCGATCCAAGTGAATGGGCCTCCACTCCGCTTCACCCGATGCTTTACGGTTAAGTTCTTGTCAGAACTAAAGGCTACGGACGAAAACCCTAATCGTTCTCCCGCCTAGTGGCTGGACACCCTAGCAGTAACCCTTCTTCAAACTCCAATGCATACACAAAATAGAAATAATTCCTCACTGCATCGATCGTCGCGCAGCATAACCAAGACCGCGCTGCCCATTGCATTGAGTGGGGTGGGTAGTGATAAGTGGGCAATTGCTCAGATATCCAAACCTTTGTTTAATTATTTGTCTTCCGTACCCAGCCCGCTCTATTCGTCCCCTCTTTCGAACTCTTATAGTCCCTCAAGCAACTTGGAGGTCACTCGCCTAAAGTCGTTGCCACATAACACCATAAGTATTGTACTACGAGGTGAATTGCAGATTATAAAGATTCGTCAATCACTTGATCTAAGGGGCTTCAACGTGAGGACCTTGATGCAGGTAGGTCAGCAAGCTTGTTTGGTGCACACAATGGAATCCTTAAGTATTGATATCTGCTGCGTGTCGGAAACTCTTATCCAGGATCCTATTACTATAAACCACTTGAGTGCGCCAGATTTGTCGTAGAGATACATTCTTCTCACGTCAGGCGACCAGGTAGTTCGTTCAGTAGATTAGTGCGGTGTAGGNTTACAAGGCAGAGTCCTCTCTTAACATTTGGATCGCCATCAGTAGATGTTTACTTGCAGTTCGTCTCCAGGGTTCAATCAGCGTCCGGAAGGGAAAGAACACCAATCACTGTTTGTTCATCGTATCAGCATATGCACCGATCAATAGCAGTTCTGATACACAAAAGGACGCTTTCTACAATTAACTCACTGATCTCATTCAGATTAGTTGAAGATCCGATATGCTTGTATGTTCGAACATACGGAGGATGCACAATGTTCACTTGATAAACTAACAAGTTTGGTTGCTATATTTGGTATGTGCTTTACACCTTCAGAGTGCAAAGTGATTATGCAGGACTGAGTTTCATGAACTCCCGCTCTGAAGCTAAATGCCCAAGAATTAGTTACAGTGAGTTACTTTTCCTACTTAGGTAGTTGCGTGACCAATGACTGGAGCGCAGCCAAAGAGATAACCGTCCACATTTCCAAGGCTCAAGCAGCAGATGCACGACTGAAACACCTTTGGCGTAGACGCTACATTTCACTGAAATTGAAAGGTCGTATTTATTGCGCAAGCATTCGTTCAATTCTATTTGATAGTTTTGAGACCTTGGATTTGCGAGTAGAAGATATCCGTCGTTTAATAGTTTTCGATTTCCAGTGTTTAAATAGTTTAGTACAGGTGGGATGGAGCGAACGGGTTAGTAATCTGCAGGTAGGCCGTCGTGTGTTCGGTAGTCTATCAGGTATAAACCTCCTAGCAAATTGATTTCAGATTAGTAGGCTTTGCTGGTTAGAGAACGTATGGCATATGACCACATAGCATCTACCACATGGCGCCTTATTCGTTGTAGCTGCTCCGAGCTGAAGGATTTCACGTGGAGGTCAACAGATGACGTGGAGACGAGGCATGAACAAATGCACAGAGACGTTAGGTGGAGTCGGTGTCTCGCGCCTTCCAGTTTGGGCTCCGAAAGACTCCACAACTAGTTGGTTGGAAACATTGAAAGATATGACAGCGAACCGACAGCAGTGGCGTTCTGATTGTCGTTTCTTATTGGGTCCGAATGCTTGAAACTGCATGTATTTGTACAGTTCGATTGTGCACTCAGTGCGCTACAACTGAGGTTCACATTCTTCTCACTCCCTCAATGTAGGTTCAATCTCAGTCCACCTTAAATTTTACCACTAATCTTGTATGCGTTGCGAGTTTAGCAGCTATCAGTGAAGTTTGCTTCACTGTATTTCACTGTGCGATGATGATGACGTTGATAATGGATTAAAGTTTCAGGATTTCATGTTTTGGTTTGCCAATTTGATCCATCACAAACCACAGATACCATCGAGGACTATGAGTGTGGGTTTCATTCCTTGAGTTAACGTTAATTCTCCAGCAGTATAGCGCATTCCTATGAGGTCTGCTTGTAATAATGAGCGCACTGGATAGCTGTTTTTCTTCCCTGTGACTCACCACTGCGGAGTTCCTGTCCATGTAAGAACTGAAACCACACAACTTGGGACTTGAACCCTTTGCTATTGAACTACAAGGTCCAACTAACGACTGGAATTACCGATCAGCAAGTGAGTGTTATCCATACCCAAGATCATCAACAGTGCTGACGCATGTGAGTGATCGAGTTGACTAAATTTGTTGAGCCATTCGCACAAACTGTTATACAATGTTTATGACAAGGAAAAGACAATTTTCCCTTAGAAAAGTGACCATTTACTTTAA